TGGCAACGATACATCTGCCGATCCAAATATGGTTGTTTTTGTTTATCCCCCAAGGTAACCTACCTCCACAGAAAAACCGAAGGGGGGTTAAAATTTTTCATTTCCAACTTTGCTTCACTTTCCTGGAGAATTGCTCTTAAGCCCCTGAAATTGCAAAACACTTTACAATTGAATCATTTCAAGCTGAAACCTTCCTCCCACAACTTCTGACATTGACTTAATGTGCATGGTTTCAACGGCAACAAAAGCGTTGTCGTTTCGTGCCACGAGAGAAATTAATCTTGATCACAATTTTGTCAGTGTTAAGTCATGAACAATATATCTCGTACAAATAACTTATCATATGAACTGAAAAAAATGTTTCATTTAACTGTTACACTTATTACAGCAGTTTATACTCGACAGTCGAAAGTAATTAGCGTTTAGTTTGGCTTTGCAGTGTATTTTAATAGTATTTCAGCGCGCTTGGCTTTGAAAATTCGCCCCAATATACTTTGTCATCGAATCAGAAGTAAAACCAAAACCAGATCGTGACTTTCTGGCGTACGTTTTCCTGCGCCTAGCATCGGCTACATTTTAGTTTTGCAACACTCAAATTGAAAACCGCTTTATGTTACTAAGAATGTCTTCCTTATTATTTGCAGGTCTCTGCCGACGTCTGAAATTCTCCACCGAGATTGATGGATATGCTCTTCAATTTCACGTGATAAAGAGATATAATCTTTCTATTTACCTAGGACCATCAGTGCGTAGTGCCTGTACTCATCGATGTATAATGGACCCCGTGTGTGTATCCATCAACATCGACCCACCAACTGACGAGAAGTTTATTTGCGAGCTTAGCGATTCAGACCATACGGAACACCCTGAAGATCTTAAAGAGCGGGAAGGCTTTCTGTACATAGGCACTGAGGTGATAAAATTACTCCGAGTAGAAGATATATTTTCGTGTTTTTTGTTTGAATTTTGACCTTAGATAAATAAGCAAATTTTAGATATAAACATAAAAACACTTCTGAAAAAGAAAAAAACTGAAGAGGAGTACCTTTTTTTTATCAGAACCCGTGCTTCAGTAACCCATGCCTTCATGATTCAATTTGTCTGAACGGATATACGGACAAACAGTATCTCTGTGAGTGCCGAGCTGGTTACGCGGGGGAACGATGCGAAAAAGGTAAGACTAACAGAGTTTACGCTTGCGTGTGCTAATTCAAGCAGACTCTATTAACACTGTGACTTTATCATGACGGTAGTTTCTGAGACTTTCTTTGCGAGACGTACATTAACCAGAATAGTTAAAATGGATGATTGGAAATTTGTTTCATAACTTTCAGAGTCACTTTCTGGACGGATCTACCTTACAAAAATGTCGCTCATTTGCTTAAAGTTCTGCATCGGTTTTAACTGATATCTGAGGCTGGGTCGAGAGTGCAGTGTTTATTTTCCAGTTGCCCAAGTACATTAATTTATTATCTCTGTTCAGATGTCGACGAGTGTACCATCAAAACAGACAACTGCAGTCTCCATGCAATCTGTAATAATAAAGAGGGATCCTTCAATTGTAGCTGTAAGGATGGATTTAGTGGAGATGGCATCAATTGCACTGGTAACTATCAACTTCTTTTTCATTAATTTCTGAATAAATGTTTTTTTTTTATATCATGGCGGGATTGATGACGATAAGAAAGTATTCTGCGCATGGGTACAAATAAGACCCACTTAACTTTAATTCATTATCTTTGTTTTGTTCAGATATCGACGAGTGTGCCATCAAAACAGACAACTGCAGTCTCCATGCAATCTGTAAAAACACTGAGGGANGCTAACAAAGCTTTTTTGACGCTTGCGTTTGCTAATTCAAGCAAACTCTATTAACACTGTGACTGTATCATGACGATAATTTCTGAGACTTTCTTTGCAAGACGTACATAACCCGTATAGTTAAAATGGATGATTGGAAATTTGTTTCACAACTTTCAGAGTCACTATCTGTGAAAGCAGTTTGGACGGATCTGCCTTACAAAAATGTCGCTTATTTGCTAGAAGTTCTCCATCAGTTTTAACTGATATCTGAGGCTGGGTCCAGAGTCCAGTGTTTATTTTGCAGTTGCCCAAATATATTAATTTATTATCTCTGTTTAGATATCGACGAGTGTGCTATCAAAACAGACAACTGCAGCCTCCCTGCAATCTGTAAAAACACTGAGGGATCCTTCAATTGCAACTGCAGGGATGGATTTAGTGGAGATGGCATCAATTGTACTGGTAACTATAAATTTCGTTTCAACTGTTTGTGAACAGGTGCTATTTCTTTCGACACGATGGTAAATTAACAATGATAAGGAAATCTTTTGCGCAGGGGTGTAAATAAGACCTACTTACCTTCAATCCTTTACCTTTGTTTGATGAGATATCGATGAGTGCGCCATCAAAACAGACAACTGCGGCCTCCATGCAATCTGTAGTAACACTGAGGGATCCTTCAATTGTACCTGCAAGGATGGATTTAGTGGAGATTGCATCAATTGTACTGGTAACTATCAACTTCTATTCCATCTATATTTGAGCAAATGTTGTTTGTTAAATCATGACGATAGTAAATATATTGATAACGATAAAGAAATATTCTGCACAGGGGTGCAAATAAGAGCAAAATGTTCTGCTAAACTTTCTGTCAACACACCAATATTTGTTCGTCTTTACCTAACTTCTTCGCCCCAAGTGGTGCATAAGGTGTCAACATTCTGTCGCCAACCAGCTCTGTCGGCCGCTGCAGTGGACACCTAGCTCCAGCTCCCCCATCCAGCTCTTTTTCTCTCCTTCTCTGCTGTTCTCCTCCATGTTGTCCTGGTTCTATCCCCAGCCTCCGGCGCCCTTCTGGTGTCCACGTCATTGCAGTCCTACAGCCATTGTCATATCCTTTCGTCATAATGTGTCCGATGAACTTCCATCTTCTCCTTCTGACATCTTCTCTAAGGTTTTCCATCTTGGCCATCTCCATCACTTGTTTGTTGGTGATTCTGTCCTGCCGGCGTATCATAAGTATTGTCTAAGGCATCTGTTTTGGCAGACATCGATGTTATTTTCGTCACATTTTGTTCATCTTCCATTTTTCGCAACCATACATCAAGAATGGTTTAACCAAAGTCTTATATTGCCTGATTTTGGTTCTTAGGTGACGCTGTTAGTGCTTCAGATCTTCCTCAATCTCATAAATACCCCTCTGGCTTTGACTACTATATCGTGGATGTCTTGTGTGCCTCCACCTTCCTTGGAAACTGTAGCTCAACATCCTCTATCCCTTGCACATTCACTTCCCCTACATCATTTTTTCCGAGAATTTGTTCCTAGCAGCTTGCATTTCTCTACATTGACTTTCAATCGCACCTTTCCTGCTTCGTGGGTCAGCTTATCGGTCTTTATCTGAATGTGCTGTTTGATATTAGGGCAACATCATCTGCAAAATCGATAGCTTCAATCTTCCAACTTATTCCGGTGCTACTCTCTTGCGATGTCTTTCTCGTTACCCAATCAAGATCCAGCAGGAACAGTAGACCAGACATATCACAGCCCTGTTTCACGCCTGTCCTGATCTTGAACTATTCTGTTGTGTCCTCTTCATCCACTACAGCTCATTCAAAGTCGTTGTAGAGTGCCTTCACCATGCTAATCATCTTGGATGGTATACCATAGCTTTGCATAATCAGCCACAGGCTTTCCCTGTGGACTGAATCGAATGCTTTTTCAAAGTCCACGAGGTGGACGTGCAATGCGAACTGACACACTATTGACTGCTCTAGTATATTTCTAAGTATAAAAATTTGTTCAGTAGTTCCTCTGCCTCGCCTGAACCCCGCCTACTCCTTCCCGAGTTTCGACTCGACTCCGCTTCGAATCGATCCTTTCGGTCACTATTACCTTGCTGACGACTGGAAGCAACGTGATTCCTCGCCAGTTTTTACATTCTTTCAGATTACTTTTCTTCCTTTGGAGGCAGCGTGGCCGAGTGGTTAGGGCGCCGGCCTTGAAATCCGGAGGTCGCGGATTCAAGTCCCGCTCTGACCACTTAGCTGGAGTTGTTTCTCGGTAGAC